GGGTCCCGCCCAGGCGGAGGCGCAGGTGCAGCCAGTGAGGGGCCAGGCAAGCCTCCCGTGCCCGTCATTAGGGGCGGCCGAGCTGTGGCACCGTCTGCGGACGCCAGGGAGGCAGCGGGGAGGCCCCGGCAAGGGTCCCTCCGTCTTTTGGCCGACGGCCTTTCCCAGCTGTTTGCACAAGCTCATTGTCTGTCCGGCCGGGGCTGCAGACGTCGCCTGATGTTTACCAGGCTCCCGCTTGCTGGCCTGGCCCCCCCATTGTCCCAAAACTTCCTATGGTGGAAAGAGGAACCGACCTCTGCAGTCAGTCCTGCTGCATCACAAACTCTGGTTCCGCCGCTTAGGGGCGCGCAGAGCGCAGCTCCGCGAAAGCTCGCCCGTGGAAATTTCTTGAGGAAAATGCAAATGTTCCAGCACTTGTTATAATCTGCTGCCGGGACTGAACACCTGCATTCACAGGTTTTGGCCTCCACAGAAACAGACCGAGGACGATGGCTGGAGGCCGTTTCGACTGTCCTTATATCTCTTCGAAATTCTTTTACTGGAAAAAAAAAGCAGGACAGAAGATAATAATATGAAGCAAGTTCACACACACAAAAAAACTTTGGCCACCTTGATCTTTTTATGAGGAAAAATCTAAGACTTTGGGTATTGTCTACTGAGCCTTAAAACACTAACTTTATATCTAGAACTTTATTTTTTTCAAGGTCCCAATTAGCTTGCATACGGGACCATATAATACTGATTAGACGTTTTATGTCACACTATATGATAGTGTTGGAGAAATAAATGACATAATATGTTCAGGGGGAACAAAAACTTTTTTCAGTTCCTCTTACAAACCAATCCATCGTTGATAAACGATTTGGACAGGTGGAGGATAAAGAAAAATGGACGAGAGAAATAACGAGGCAAGATACTACCCTACCGGTGAATGAACAAACAAATGCAAATTAAGAAAACTGGATATATCCTTTTGCCTATCGAATTACATTTTTATGTGACTATTTGACTAGCAAGTCTCATGTGTTATTGGCAGCCTCTTATATACTTTTTAATATTTTGTTATTTTTTAATTACAGATGACATACAATATTATGTTACTTTCAGGTGTGCAACAACAGTGATTAGACATTTTTATAACTCACTAAGTGATCATCCCAGTAAATCCAGTACCCATCTCACCACGCATAGTTATACAGGACCACGGACTATACTTTTCATCCTATGTTCTACATCCCTATGACTATTTTGTAACTACCAATTTGTCGCCCCCGCGCCGGTCCCCAGAACTCCCCGCATCCGGCAACCATCAAAATGCTTCCTGCATCTATGCGTTGGTTACTTTTTCGTTCGTTCGTTTTGATTTTGAGATTCCACATGTACGGGGAACCACATGGCGTTGGTCTTTCCGTGTCTGACTCCCCACAGCACGATGCCCTCGGGGTCCGTCCACGTGGTCGCACGTGGCCAGATTCCGTTCTTTTACGGCTGCGTCACGGCCCGTGGTATCTACGCACCACCTCTTCCTTATCCAGTCACCTGTCGACGGCCACCGAGGTTGTCTCCAGAAGTTGGCTACTGGAACGAACGCTGCTGGGAACACACGGAGGCACATGTCCCTCCGAAGTAGTGTTTTGGGTTTCTTCAAGCAAATACCCCAGAGTGGAGTAAACGGGTCCTTCTTTGTCTCCTACAGCCTGTTTCAAAGTGTATTTTGTCTGGTATAAGAATTGCTGGCCCGCTCTGTTTTCTGTTTTCATGAAGCACCTTCTCCTAACCTTTAACGTCCAGTCTCTGTGTGTCTTTAGATCTGAAGCGCGTCTCTTGCAGGCGGCACCCGAGTGGGTCTTGTTTTCTTTTCCATTCAGCCACCCGATGTCTTTTCATTGGAGAATTTAATCCATTTAAATTAAGCGTAATTACTGGTAGATACGTAGTCATCACCCCTATATCATTCATATTTTTTATTCTTTTTTCTTCTTAAAAAAATAAGCCCCTGGAACATTTCCCGTAATACCGGCTCGTCGGTGATAAGTCTTTTCTTGTCTGGGCAGCTCTTTGTCTCTCCTTAGATCCTAAACGACAGCTGTGCTGGCTGGAGCAATCTTGGTCAGAGGTCTTGAGCTTCCATCCACTGAACATTTCATGCCAATCCCAGGCCCTTCCCGCCGGCAAAGTCTCTGCTCAGGCATGAGCTGAGTCTTACGACAGCTCCCTCGTGGGTAACGAACTGCTTTTTGTCTTGCTGCTTTTGAGAGTCTCTCTGTGTCTTTAACCTTCGGGGTTCTCGTCGTGACGCGCCCCGGTGTGGGCCTCGTAGGGTTCACCTTGTTTCGGACTCTGTGCTCCCGGGGCCTGTGCGGCTCTTTCCTTCAGCAGCTCAGGGCAGTTTTCAGTCATCACGTCTTCAGCGAGGGCCTCAGTCCCTCGCGCGCTCGCCCGCCCACCCCTTGCTCCAGTGTCCCTGTGCCGCGAACGCTGGTCCCCTCGGCGTCGTCCCGGGGCCCCTTAGACTTGCCTCGCCTTGTGGATTCTTCCTCTCTTTCGCTCCTCCGCCTGGGCGTTTTCTGCTACTTCATCTTCCTCATCGCCGATTCGGTCTCCTGCCTCGTCTAACCTGCCGTCGACTCCCTCTAATTCATCTCCGACTCGCTCCTTTTATGTTTTCTGTCTCTCTGCCGAGGTTCTCGCTGAGTCCGTGTACGTTTCCCTCAAGTCCCTTGAGCATCCTTCCCACCAGGGTTTCGAACTCGGCGTTGGGGGGACGGCTCGTCTCCATTTTGTTTAGTTCTTTTTCTGGAGCTTCGTTCTGTTCTTTCGTTGGGGGCC